CGAGAAGTGACGGAAAAGTATTAAGCAGTTGCGAGCGTTGTAAAACTTTTACCACACTGAAGTGAAACTGAAACAAGAGTGTTCATATACCTGGGGTACACAGTGGACTGAACTCCTGCATGGGAAGTGCAACAGTGTCCATGAGAACACCTGTCCACAGCATAGAGGCAGAAACTTGCTGTGACAAAATCTTGTATGGGTTAATAATTAGCTACCTCAGCATTACAAAGTTAAGTCTGACATTCTTGGACGTTTTGAGGTTAGAAAGCAAATGTGAGGCAGCGTGGTGGAATCAGGCTCTCGTCAGTTTTTGGGCATGTAGAGTTATTAGTATCATCTTAAAGCTTGTTCACTTGTCTTTATTTGGATGAAAAAAGTATCCTTTTATCTTGAATACAAGTCGATATATTTACGAAAGAAGGAGGTGAAGGTCACCTGTTTTCAGAGGTAAAATTAGTGAGGAAATGGCCGCTAAAGGTTAGTTATTTTCTTAGCTTAAGAGTCTGTGGTAACTGAAAATTTACATTTTCTGTGTCTTTAATCAACGTTTTTCAGAAAAATCCACACTGGAATGAATTCTTTAATGGACATGAAAGGTGTTGAGCCAAAAAACAAAAATTTAATAAAAATTCACAAACCTGCGGATAAATGCAAGTTTCTTCATTTTGATTATTTTGACGAGAGCCTGATTCCACCACGCTGCCTCACAAATGTTCTTTCTGCTCTATCAAAATTGTAAGATTATTTGGAGTCATTATCAAGATATTCAAAGAATTGCATTAGAAAAAGCTTGACATGACGTAAACCTCAAATACTTTGACATCAGATTTCTCAAACTAAATACTGTGCAGATAGAAATTTGTAATTCCGAGGTAGCGAATTGTTGGTAAAATGTAGATTTTTTACACCCTCATTGACAAAATTTAGATGGCTTTCAACAATGCCTGTCAGAGCCAATGCGGCTGAAATGGATGCCACATCCCAGTAGAAAGACTGGAGTACTTGATAAAAATGTTTCCCCATTTAAGAATCAAACTTGGGTCTCCTGCATGAGACAGCCAGTGAAACTCCAAACAGCTACGCCACAAACACCATATTAACAGTACAAGTAAAAATTTAAAAAATAGTTAATCTGGATACAGCCTGTCAGGAGAAAGCGCTTAAACGCTTGACACTTTCCAGGTTACCCCTAAAACTTGCAGTAAAAAAAACCCAAACTCATTAATGTGATAAAATGAAATCAAACACAGACATGTCACACTTTCAAGACTATTTATTAGAAAAAATCCCCCCAAAAACAACATAACAGCAACACCCGCCCCCCCCCCCCCCAACCACCAAAGTCTCGAGTTATTTCATCTCTTAGTTCATACAGTTTTGTGTGAAACAATCCTCATACTCTAATTAAAAGGTCTAATACAATAAAGTCTGCTTAAAGGGACTTTTGCAGGACCACTGAATTTTCTGCAGTTTAGAAGTTGCTCAAATACAAGTTATGCGCTTCCACAGTATACTGACAAAATCGTAAGGAGTATCACAAAGATAATAACACAGACTTACTCAATATGAGATGAGTGGACTGTACTCTGTACAAATATTTATATAATCAAATAAAAATAAATTAATAAATAGGCGTTACTATGGCAAACATACATAGTATATAGCAGGCAAGGTCAAAAGCCCACCTCATACATTCTCTGAATTAAAAGAAGTATAAAAATACCACCTTTTCTTTAAAATAAACACATTTAATGTCAAGACTTTCAAAAACTATCTGTGATTTAACCAAACAATTTTTGGGTTTTTCTTTTCTAAATTCCCATTTTAATTTCCTTTACACTGCAAAACAAACAGGTTCAATAGGAGGTATCCTGACAAAATGAGTTATTTCTCCAAATTTAGCGCCTTGAACATAGACAAATCAAGTTTCTAGACCGACTTTGAACAAGTTACCAGGATGAAATGATACAAGACCTTATGAACTCGAAGAGAACGGCATCACTTAATTTAAAAATCTAGATATTTGAAGCGTCCATTCTCAGCCGACATCTCCATTTATCACAATCAGAGAAAGATGAGGAAAGCTATGACAGACCTCCCAATACCTTCATGTCCGAATATTGAAGTTTCTTTCAGAATCTTCCGTAAAAATCGGTGCTTGAGGAAAAAAATTCGAGAAACAATCAGTCTCCAGGATCCCAGTTGATTCAGATGACACTAAGACCCAATCAGGGCAAATAAATGTGTATTTCAAATACACACAAATTAACTAACACACACACAAAAAAGTGTGCTTTCACGTTATTTACATCAAGTCGTGCAAACATTGCAAATAAACGCAAAATAAACCTGTGTAATTTCACCTCATTCAGGACCCATTGCATACGACCGATGGTTATGAAATTTAAGGACAAATTTTAAATTCATGAAAATCTGATCAGGGTTCTTCCATAGGCCCCCCCCCCCCCCCTTCCCCAAATTTAATCGAAGGGCTTAGCCAGAGTACTTGGCAGATCTGGATTGGCTTTTTTTTTTTTATCAAAGATCTATCGTCCTTACCTTTCCCCCTTCTTTTCTTTGAATGTTACTCTTTAGTAACACCTCTAATCTGCAGCATTTATATGACCTAATTGTGTTGAATGTACTGTAAAACTTTTACCAAAACTGAAACTAAAGCAAATCGGAGGAGGGCTATGACCAGGCCTCCACCTGGAAGCGACGAACTCTCTCAAGAGCTTGAATGTAGGTCGCGGCCTGTTCTTTCGTCATTTCTCCATGCTCAGAAATCACATCACACAGCGCCTCCTTCACGTCGTCAGGCATAGACTTAGCATTCCTGGACAAATACAATCAAAAAGACCCAAAGCAATAGTTTTCATTCAGTTTTACCGGACTTGCAACAAGAATAGGTCATGCATATTGTAAGTGCAGCAGATCAGAGGTGTTACAGAGAAAAGAAGGAGGTGAGATGAGGAAGACAGATGATTGACAGAAGAAAAGAAGAAGCAAACCACACTGCAGTTCCTTCCAACCAACCAAGATTAGAGGTGTTACAAGAGGATAACAAACACAAAAAAAGGAGGAGAGATAAGGACGATAGACATTTGATAAAAAAATGAAAGAAGGAGCAAACAACACGAGAGCATGCACAAACCACCCACCAATGACTGCTCAAAAACCCAACCAAAGGGCTCAAGACAATTCTGGGCGAGGCACTGAAGGGGTGAAAATGTATAGTTAACTCAATTCAATATGTATAATAATAAAGCCTTTAATTTATGTCAATTTGCCTCACTCTGCGATGCAACAAATTTAGCCTATAACTCATGCTTATATGCCTCACTCTGCCATGTATTATAATAATAAATAAGCCTGTAATTGATGTCTATTTGCCTCACCCTGCCAAGTATTATAAAAAATAAGCCTATAACTAATGCCAAGTATTATAATAAATAAGCCTGTAATTCATGTCAATTTGCCTCACCCTGCGATGTAGAACGCTCCATTCTGCTCACTCAGCACATTCCACACCTGCCTGCCTTGCTCACGGATTCGGTGCTGCACATAGATTTTCTCATCCTGAGGGGAAAAAGTTTGGATAATACTCTTGACTGTTTTTAGTTTTAGTAAGATTTTTTACAAATCTTGGAAAACGATTATATAAGTGCTGAAGATTAGAGGTGTTACAACGGAGTTTGGGTTTATTAGCTTTAATAAGAACTTTATTGCACTTGCAACACAAACAGAGTAACATATGTACAAATGCCAAAGATTAAAGGTGTTTCTAAAAAGATACCACAAAAAAGAAGGAGGAGAGATAAGGACAGGAAATGTTCAATAGGAAAAAAAAAAGAACAGACCACACCAGAACATCCACCAACCACCCTCTGCCAAAGAAGAGGACCACAAAAACCCTCCCCATAGAACCAGAAGAAACAAGGGTTAAGAAAAGTTAAGAAATACTTGATTTGTGCACCTCCGTTTAGCACATTTCTAAGAAATACTAGAAATATACACAACTCTTATCTCAGAATATTCAGTTCAGCAGATGGAGCCAGCAAATTTAGGCACAATGCCACTTCTAGCCAGATGTTTGTAAAAAATTTGTTTCTTAATGTAAGTATTTTTACGTTTGTATCGATACAATTTAGAACACTTATGAGGTGGGCTTCGACCCTGCCTGTCAGGGCCAACTCGTGCTGAGAGGTATACAACATCCCAGCAGAAAGACTGATATACCCGATAAATTTTTTCCTCAAGTCCTTGTCAATTATATCGCAATTAGACGACTTACGATGTGGACTTCTTCAGAGTGACACGGTTGAGTGGAGTCATAAAAAAGACGCATCTTTACCTGATCCCTAGAGAAAGCTGTGTGTAGGCTGATGAGACCCTTTTCCTCTAACTTTGCAAATTCCTCCTCACAAAAGAAATCTTTGTGCTTGCTGCGACAGCCGAAAAACAGCACCACACCTGAAAGAAGTAAATGAGTACTATAGCAGACCACATGCTTTTATAGATATCGTCACCAACGTTTACAACATATTTGTATGTAAAAAAATTAGGTTTTCACAGGATGCAAGAATCTGTTTTATTTTGTTCAGGACACAATCTTAACACTAAATGTTTAATTTGTCTAAATCCGTTACAATTTGAAGGAAAGGAACACTTTGACCTCTCTGCATGGATATTATTGAAAAACAATGATCAAAGTCACAAAAAAAACCCGTAAATGTAGTTTCCAAAGACACTCCAGCTTTTGAAGTGAGTAAACTTTGGCAGCCATTTTCTCACTAATTTTACCTCTGTTACCCCAGGCAACTCCCACCTCCTTCAAGCACAGATATCTCGGCTTCTGTTCTAGACAGCTGGGTATTTAAAAAAAAATCAAAAGCAAGACAAAGGAACAAACTTTAAGATGATATCAATAACACCATATGCCCCAAAATTTGATGAGGACTTGATTCCATTGGGTCGTGGTACAAACGTATGGAAAAGAATTTAAATTTCTGTCCACTTACCACCTTTTCCTTGAGAAGCTCTTTCTTGTATAACACTGCGGAATGGTGCCAAACCTGTACCTGGAAAGGAAGGGAAAGAAATAAACCTAACTTTTGTTCTGCTTTCTAGAATCTAGTTTGCACATAGAGAAGAGATTTCCTGGTCCCAATTTCTTTTTCTTATTCATGTATAATCTTTGCATTTAAAACAAATTTGTAATGAAAAGATTTTCGCACCCCACTGATTTTGCCATGCACTTGCTAGACTGTATAGAATAATCTTAGAGGGGAAGATTTCTGCTTTTACTGGTATAATATACAGTCATCTATCGTTGATCAATGCAGCTGCGAGATTTCGTCCTGATAAGTTTGACTGAGATACCCAGTACGGCTTTGGTCAAAACCGAATCTAACCTTGCAGAAAATGCACATATTATACTTTTACAAAGGTAACAGGGAAAAAGTATGTTAGGCATTCTCATGGTCTGCCTTTTGACCACATACTTTACTTTTACTTTACTTTTCTGATCCAGCGGCCATTTGGGTTCTAGCCCTTTGGCCTGTCGATATGGCAAAGAAACCTTTTGACCACATGAAGAGTACAAAAATAGTCATAAATTAGTAACATTACTTACCATGATCATGAATTAGTAACACAGCACTTATCATGGTAAACAGAATACAGTAATAATGACGTTTTCTTATCTTACCTGGACCCACCAACACAAGAGGGACATCGTGGTCTGCGGGGAATCGTATGGTCCCTTTTTTGACCCAGATGGGCACGTACGTGTCTTGTCTGTCCGGACTGAGGCTGGACAGCCAGGTGGAGCAGACGCCGCGCCGTGCGTTCTGAAGTTTTGTACGGTAGCGAACGACAGCCATGAGAAGATGCAGCTGGGTTGGGTGGGCCTGAGGAGAGAGAGAGAGACAAACCTGCTCAAACAGTCACCTGTATAAGACAATCACCTGTTCAAATGGCCACTCCTAATTTTTTCCACGTGCATTTTTATTATTTCATAATGATACTGTATAAGATGTCCACCTGTCTAGAACAACGTTTCTCCTTGACAATGGGATTCCGTCTTCAACAATTCAACCAGTATTTTTGCATGATCAGTTTTTTTTCCCAGCACAAAATTACCATTGTTGTGACGATGAGTCTTACCTATACAAAACAATCATCAGACATATGTGTGGCATCATGGTGAAATCATACACTCGTCAAATCAATGAAATCGAAGAAATCAAAGGTTTTTCTCCTAGTTGGACAATTTTTATTGAATTTCTTTTTCTTTCTTTTTTTTTTTGGGGGGGGGGGGGGGGAGATCAACACCTTTTAGGTCCACATATTTCTGTGCGGATTTTACAGACAGACATTAATCAAACACACAAAAAAAGTAAATTTTCAGTTTCCAAGGACACTCGAGATTTGGAAGACATTAAATTTTAGCGGTCATTTCTTAACTAATTTTACCCTTGACAACAGACCAGGTGACCCCCACCCTCTCCTTCGTTCACAGACATCTCAACTTCTATTCAAGATAGATGGGTATTTTTTTTTTCATCAAAAGAAAGACAAATGAACATGCTTTAACATTATACCAACAATTTCATCTGCCTAAAAACTGACGAGCGCCTGATCTCATTGCATCATGACACATGTATATATACAGTCGAACCTGCTCTAACTATCACCTGTATAAGACAATCACCTGTACAAATGGCCACTTCCCATTTCTCCCCTCGAGTATTTTTTACATTAAAGTGGCTATAATGAAACGGAAAAACAAATGCAGAAAATATTAACAGTTCTTCTAACCTCCTTTCAGTAAAATTACCAAAAGTAACACTTTATTATTTTTTTTTAAAAGGAAAAAAAAAAAAAAGAGCGGGATCCCTGCAAAAACTACTCACCTTTATTGAAGAAGCTATGGAGAAAGCTCTGGGCTGAAGGGCAGGGATGACATCAAAGAGGTAATCGAATGGGATCCGTTTACTGGTCTTGTGAAAGTCTTCAAGAATCTGTCGAGTTTTTATTTGTATGCGTAAATTGAAGCACATCATCAACACAATAATGGTCATTTAGTGCTGGGAAGAAAAAAAAGACCGACAGAGAGAAACACCAGAAGGGGGAGGGAATGAAAGGATTATTATTGGAACAATATTTATTGTATTATTATTATTTGTGCAGTGAGTACCTTTTTAGGGGATGTGAGCTATATAAAAGTAATTTATAGCATTATCTGTAACATTCTTGATCCAGGAACTCTCACTGTAGCGTGTCCAAGGTTGAAACTAGTAGAACTAAAACAAACCTAATAATAATAAAGAGCGTTTGTATAGCGCAAATTCCCACTCCACAGCAAGCTCTGTGCGCTTTACAATCTATATTATAACCCCAGCTGACCTGACAGCATTTCGAAACAACTTCAACTACTGGTAAGCATACACTGCAAGCTGCCATTTTATCTGCACTAAAACACTAACATATTGACAAAACCTTTTGCTGTCTATGGCCGGGTACCCATTCCAACCTGGGTAGAGTGAGGCAATTCATGTCAAGTGTCGTTCCCAAGGTCAAAATGTTGGTCTTCAAAATGTAAAGAGATACATTATGTATACATTTTTTACAGAAAGAGTTATTTCCACATCAAAACAGAGATCATTTCTTTACATGTGTTACAGAACTAACAAGTACCTCTAAAATGGTTCTCTTCACTCTGTTGCAATATGAATACAGCTCTTCCTGAGGAATAAAAAAGTTTCACTCATGAGAAGAGATATTGGCACAACCTGTACTCTGCATTATGGAAACTTTATTTCACAAATGACTGTATCATGTGATGTGATGTGGGCCAATTGCCTAAAACACTGAGTAAACTTACTTATTAACTTAAAAAGAACAGAAAAATGTTTTAAAACTAAATTCCCTCAACCAAACAATATTTCAAACATAATGAATAATCATGGAAATTTTGAAAATATGTACACAGTATTATCTATTTTACTGTAAATCTGAAGCAAACATCACTCCATCTTTTAAAAATTAATTACCCTGGATCTTTGGTCTGTCAGTGAACCAGGGAGATGAAGGCAGTTTTATTGTTAACATCAAAACACACAAAGTACATAGCTGCCAACTTTTCAAAACAAAATAACAGGCTCTAGGTACACAGCGGTTAAAGACGATGGGCATTGAATAAGTGGCCCCTCTCCAAACCTTCACACACATTTTTCATCAGGCAGTAAATTCACAAACTGCTCCTAGTAGACCAGCAGCAATTATGTAAGAAATGTTAACTGTAAAACCTCTCCAATTGAATAAAGGATCAAAATCGTTCGCAAATTCAGTCTTGAAAGTTAAAAATTTTTCTTAAATCATCAGCAAGTTACTGAGGAGCCAAACTAGAAAACAATTCATGTTTTCTGACACAAAAACAGACTTCTGTGCTCAGACCCTAAAAAAAACGTAATATATATCAACTGCTCAGTGTAAGACTTCACCATACATCCTTTGGGAAAGTGTGGAGAATGGTGTCTTACAATGAGTAGTCGAAATGTCTTTTGTTTGTTTTGGAAAGTGTGTTACAGTGCTCGCAACTGCATAAGGTCATATGAGATTGCGGGACACATTAAACATTTTCAGTTTGGTAGGAATTAATTAGGAAATTTGCACGTGTGGCGATGGAAGCCTACTCTTTTCGATTTTGGACCACCAAGGGATCTGCAACATGCACACAGGACCTCAGAGATTTTTTCGCCCTTATCCGAGAAAGCTAAGTGCTAGATATTACCTACCCTAATATCAGGGATGTGGCTGAAAGAGAGCAGTAAGAAGGAGCCAAGGAGTAAAAGAAGAAAGGGGGGGGGGGCTAGTAAAAGGAGACAAAAGAACATAATTTAACAGCAGGAGAGGAGGTGAAACGAGAAAACTGTTAGACAAGAAAAATTTCCATTACTATCAGGTTTTGAACACGGGACCTATTGAATGAGAGGCGAACACCGTAACCTCAAGAACAAGAGAGCCCATGATATGTCCTTAACATACTGGTTGGCAGCTATGGTTAAGATTTTATCACACAAAAAATCTACCTGTCCTTCTGGGGTGCAGAACTCTTCCAGCTTCTCTCTCTCCAGCTCATCATCGGCGTGGTACTTCAGCAGCTCGAAGAAGGACTTCCGCGGGACTGAGTTGATGTCCAGATAGTGCGTGACGAGCCAGCGTATACTGCAAGGGGACGGGAATCTGGCGGGCAGAGGCACCTCTGTTTATGGCAAAACAAAACAAAAAATTAATAAAATAAAAAATAAAATAAAAAGAAAGACAAAAATAAAATTCACATTACATTATCTGTTTAATTCATTTCACCTGGCCACAGAACATATACTTAGGACATGCATGCTTGCCACGGCCTTAGGTTTAGTTTTAGTAAGTGTTTTACGGCATTTGCAACACAATAAGGTGTATATAAGTGCCGGAGATTAGAGATGTTACAAGAGAGTAACAAACACAAAAAAGAAGGAGAGGAGAAAAAGAGGATAGACGTTTGATAGGAAAGAAGAAGCAAACCACACCAGAGCACCCGCCAACCACCCACTTTGCCCTGGCCGGTCAACATAAACAGACGTAGCCAGTATTACTATATACAAAACCAAGCTCTTATCCACGTTTCCGGTTTCTCCAAGAGAAATAGAATATCCCATATTTATTGACAAAGAAGTGGTGGCCAAGCCAATTAATACTGTACCTTTCACGAACCCAAATAGAATACAGCAGAAAGTAATTGTAATAATGATAATAATAATAATATAACTGATAATAGTAATAACAATGATGACAATAATGAAAATTATAATAATAATAATAATAATAATAATAATGATATTAATACCAATGCTACTACTACTACAACTAAAAATAACAATGATAAATATTTCTTCTTTTGCACCAACTCCCACATGGTTCTCCCTGCTTCATAACGAAGTAAGATTTAAATGAAAGTCATGCGTACTGGCCCATTCAATGTACAACAATCTGTTCAAATACACATACATCAGTAATCTGACAAAGAACACACAAATAAAATAAAAAAGACAAAAAACTGCCCCAAAATAAAAACAATCACGGTGGCCTCTGATCTCACTTGTTGAAAGAGAAATCAAACTAATTGCATTTATAAAGAACTCTATTCCATACAAGTCATTATAGTAATAATAATGGATTGTATATATATAGCACTCTATCCAATACGAGTACAAACTCCGAGCGCTTCACTAATATCACATGACCACTGAGCGTAATACTTCATTCACATAAGATAAAATGTATCAAAGTAACAAGAAAACCAGTTCAACTGCAAAAAGAACTTTCTCAACTATACATGAACCATATAAAGTTGTTCCTGCATCCGATCCGGACATTGGGTATTGCCTTATTTGTGAGACAACTTCCTGGGCCTTCGGCATATTGTGGTAGCGTGGCCAGTTTCTTTCCAAGCTGCCTTTACTTCCCCAACTCGAAGACAGATACCCATTTCTGCTGGGTGGGCAGGAGGGGGCGAAAAAAATCTGCATCCGAACCGAGGCTCAAACCCGCACTTTCCGCTTCGGAGACGAGCGGACCAACCGCTTTGCCACCGCGCCCTCTATACACAAAGAAGAACTTTCTTTTTGTTTTTGTAAAGTGTTTTACGGCGCTCGCAACTGCATCAGGTCATATGAGCGCGCGGGACACACCTAATATTTTCAGTTGGTGGGAAATTTTGAATTTTGCCCGGGCGACTGCCGAAGCCTACTCTTATCGATTTTAGACCACCAAGGGATCTTTAACGTGCGCAACTTGCACACCGACCCTCCAAGATTTTTCGCCCTTGTCCGAGAAGGCTAGGTGTAGATCTTTCCTACCAGAAGATCAGGGGTGTGGCAGAAAGACAGCAGTTAGGAGGAGCCAAGGAGTAGCAGTAGAAAGGCTGCAGAAAGAGTCATGAGCTCAGAGGAGGGGGCAAAGGAGGCGAGGGGGTGGGGGCAGAAAGTGTAAATGAAAGCAGACAACAGAACATTGCTAGAGAGTAGGAAAGGATGTGAAAGGAGATCATTTTAGAAAAGAAAATTTTTCGGTCGCTACCCGGATTCGAACCCGGGACCTTTGAATGAGAGGCCAACACCTTAACCTCTAGGCCACGAGAGCCCCCAGAACTTTCTCAACTATACATTAACCATACATGTACGCACAGAAATAAAGGCAAAACATATCAGCACTTACTAACACACTACAACTAAGAATTCAACAAATGAGTCTTGAGCTTTAGTATGAGCTGTGAAGGAAGAACACACAAACCTGGATCATTTTCCTCCAATCTGAACATCTGATCTGGATTGAGTTCGAGCAGAGAGAGAAAAGCCTCCACTGTGTCGGTTAAGTTCTCCGGGTGAATCATCGCTACATCCCCAGGTTCAAAACTGGAACAGAAAATGAAAAAATAATTAATTGACATAATGTTGTCAGCAAGCCGTTAAAATTTTTACCAGGCCCAGAAAGCAAAATTTTACGGGAGAGAGACAGAACTATTTCATTCTTTTAAAAATTTACTTACTTTATGTATTTTTTCCCACCTTTTTCTTTTAACATTAAGAATTGGAATTTCAACAAAATATTTCTTGAGCATGTGCAACTGATACCACAGATTAAGAAACAGATTAAAAAAAAAAAAATTAAATCATTGTTTTTTTAGTTTTTGTAAGTGTTTTTACGGCGTTCGCAACTGCATAAGGTCATATGAGCGCGCGGGACACATTAAACTTTTTCAGTTGGTAGGAAATTTTTAATTTTGCCCGGGTGGCGGCCGTAGCCTAATTTATCGATTTTAGACCACCAAGGGATCTTTAACTTGCGCAGCTTGCACACGAGCCCTCCGAGATTTTTCGCCCTTGTCCGAGAAGGCTAGGTGTAGATCTTTCCAACCAGAAGATCAGGGGTGTGGCTGAAAGACAGCAGTAAGAAGGAGCCAAGGAATAGCAGTATAAAGGCTGTAGAAAGAATCAGGAGCCCAGAGGAGGGGGGCAAAGGAGATGAAGGAGTGGGGGCAGAAAAAAGAGACGAAAGCAGACGACAGAATATTGCTAGAGAGCAGGAAAGGGGGTGAAAGGAGACAAATTTAGAGAAGAACATTTTTCGGTCACTACCCGGATTCGAACCCGGGACCTTTGAATGAGAGGCCAACACCTTAACCTTTAGGCCACGAGAGCCCCCCCATTAAAGCATGTTTTGAGAAGTGGTTCATAGGCCATGCATAGAGAGCTGCAGACTGGAAAATGAAAAGATATCCTAAACAATCTTGTTCATTTTAAGACTTGTATACGAGACTATTAAATAAATGCAGGACTGACATAGAATCTGTTTAGGTAAACATACCATCGGCCAGTTGCTAAAACGTACTTGGCTCCCCAAAATTGCTCGGTATCAAAACTCATTACGTGATCCAAATTGTTTACAACAGTGCTCCTTTCCCATTTCAAAGCATACATGGGAACCCAACCAACCTTATTTTTGTTTTAACAACCCTGGCCTTTCTGATATGACTTGAAACAAATACTTTAGAAATCATGACTGAAAGTAGCAAAGAAAGAAGCACAAGTTAGTTAGTGAACGATCCATTTTGACTTCTTAGTGAAAGACTCCACTATATTATGCCTAATGAAAAGTGACCAATGCTGGAATCTTACACTGAGCAGTCCATTTCAATTAAACTAGTCATCCCAATCTCAACTTCCAACACACACCCCTCTCATAACAAAAACAAAAAGCTTGCCAATTCTTGTTGATAATGCGGCAAGAATTCACAGCAATATTCAACCTGCTACAGAAACTAAGAATTCTGGGCAAAAGGTACACTTTGACTTACAATTATTTTCTAATTGACAATGTGTACCTAAAAATTAAAACCAGAAAGTACACTTTGACTTACAAATATTTTCTAATTGACAATGTGTACCAAAAGATTCAGAGCAAAACGTAACCTCTGACCTAAGTCCCGAGCCAGTGATGTCCAGCTTGATGAGACGGACGTCCTGGAAGTGGTCGGCGGCGGTCACTCTTTGATTGGACAATAATCTCGCATGAAATGGACACAGAGGGCCCGGGCTTATATCACTGGACACAGGAAGGGGTCGCTCCTCTTGAGAAGACTCCATGTCCACAAACACGGCTTTGTACTTGGGGGGAGGGCTGAGGAAAGTCAGGAGTAAAACAAAAAAAAGCGTAGAGGATTTTTTCAAGCCCCCATCAACAAAACAAAATTTAGATCATTTGGGAGGCAGTTGGTGTTTTGTTCTGTATTCTAGGCCATTGGCCCCTATAATACCCCCCGCCCCCCCCCACCACATTTTACAGAAGAGACGTCCATGGAAACTGAATAAATTATAAATGACATACATATCAATAACATTTTTTAAACATTTCAAACTCTGTACGGTAATCTAATCAATTTTTAGTAAGAATTTTAGGGCACTTCAGCACAATTACGTCATATAAGTGTCGAAGATTAGAGGTGTTACAAGGTAGTAATAAACACATAAAAGAAGGACGAGAGATAAGGATGACAGATGTTTGATAAAAAAGTAGGAGCATACCCCACCAGAGCACCCACCAACCACCCACTTACGGACATCTTAGAGATTGAATTGAGTATGATCAGACCAGTCAGCAGATAGCCTTGTCTGTTAAACCTACCCAAAACAATGTGGGTTAAATTTAAATCAGAGTCATCTATGCCTTGGTCCACCATTTTGATTGTGCGAACAATAGTATGTTTGTTTGCTTAAATAAACAAAAGTGCATAGACACAATAATGCCTCCCCCCTTCAAAGTCTCTCCCAGAGGTGGAATTCTCGGCCATTGTGGGTAACATTACAGCCCAGTGAACGAGCATCGGCTTATTGAAGCAGCTTATATTTCTCACTTTCCGATGTAGCAATATCATCAAATCATATGAATAAAACTTGTGTGTTTGTGTGTGTGTGTGTGTGTGTGTATGTGTGTGTGCGTGCGTGCCTGCATGTGTGCGAGCGTGCAAGTCCGCATGTGTGTGTGCATGTATGTGTGGGGGTTAATCTGTATGTAGTCACACCTCAGGTACTAGCCTGAGATCTAGCAAAGAATGCAAAGAAGCAAAGAAGAAAAAGAAGAGCTTCCAGCATACTCAGTGCAAGACGTTCACCTACCACACAGACTCACTGATCACTTCCAAGCCTGGGGGCAAGGGCCACATTTCCATCACTTTGGCCCACAGCTCTGACAGCCAGGGAGATACCACTGCATCCACTCTGCAAAACGACGCCCACAACATTTATAACGTATTCTTAGAAGTAATGAAAAGAATAAGGACGTTATTATCATTTCAGAGTTTTGAAAATAATGTGTTGCTGGTAAGAGTATTTGTTAAACAATGTTCAATTAGAATGATATTTGCATTTTCAAAACTTTTTATCACAAGATAAACTGTAAAAGCCAGTCTGAGGTTTTCTAAAAAATAAACCAAAGGAAATGCCATTTGTGATGCAGAAAAATGAACATTTTCCCAAATATTGCCAGTAATAATTCCTACTTTGTCAGACAGTAGCAGCCTAGGAAACAATAATGGGCACAAATTCTGCAAGTTTTTTTCTTTGCATCAATTCATACAACAATTAGCAGATACTACTGATGACGGAAGTCAAACAACATTCAATAGCTTTATATGAAGAAACAAATGGACCCGTTACCGTCTTACATTGTGCCCAGTGGATCTGCATGCTAAAATAAAACACGCCTGGATACCTAGAAATGTCATCTCTGGATCAGAGGTTGACAAGCAATGATGACTTGCCAGTGCCTTCGGTCTATAGCAGCAGTTTAAATATTATCATACTCAGGCCAGTTCATCGACGTTTATAATCTTTAAAGCATTGAGGCATTAAGTGCCTCTTCTAACATCAGCACAATGAAATATAACATAGCCAGATACATTGAGTTGTAAAATGCATTAAGCATGATGTGATGCATGGATAAGCGCTATATAAAAGCAGTAATTATTATCATTATCGTAGGTGCTGTCTCTGGCTCAGAAGATGATATGAAATAATGACCTGCCAGTGCTTAACAGTCCCTAATTGCTGTTTTACACTCTATCATACTTGAGCAAGTCCATACAAAATATATAATGTTTAAAATGTTATGGCATCAATTGTGAGGTACCATGGTGAAAGCAGGTGATCTTCAAAATGATGGAATCGAAGAAACAAGAATTTCTTATCCAGTTGGGTAATTTTTGTCACATTGTATTTGGCTCAACACTTTTTATGTCCATACAAAAACACATTTCCATGTGAATTTTACTGAAAAACATTGAATAAGGGCATCAAATAAGTAAATTTTCATTTTTCAAGTACTCTCCAGCTTTAGAAGATACCAAACTTTGGCAGCCATTTTCTCGCTAAAATTACCTAAAAAACTAGGCTACCCCACTTCACTTTTCCACCAAAAGTGAGACCATGAACAAGATTTAAGATTTTACCAATAACTTCATATGCCTAAAAATTGACAAACACCTGATTTCACTGCTCTACCATGAGCCGAGCCACTCACCCCAAGTCATGCTGGTCATCAGCAAGCCCTAGCTTCGTGATGGAGGAACCTCCGAGTTGTTCCAGTCTTTTCTGAAGCTTCTTCCCCACCACGTTGAATCTAGGAAAAGAGGTGAAAGGTAGAAAAATATGAATCGTTACTTTGATTCGGGTGATAAAAGTGCAAGCAAAAAAACATGAAATAATAATTGTTATTTAAACTTATGCCCTAACCAACTTTTCAAAAACAAAAAACATGAACTCTACCCATGAACAAAGGGTCAAGATGGCGGGCATTGACCAAACATCTCCCCTCCGAATCCTTCACACACACTTTTGCTGCCTTCCATAAATTCAAGATATTCAAATGTTGACCGGTAGCAAAATATCTCTCAAACACTTATCGCCTTAGTTTTCATTTTCATTAGCAAATTCGGTCCTGAAAGTTCAGATTTTCCCTTCAGCATCAGCAAGTAAAAAAGGATCAAAACTAAAAAGGGTACTAAAATAAACTTCAAAACCATGTAATTTGATATGTTAGGTTTTTTTCTACATACTGATCTTAGCCCTTAATTCTTCTGCTTTGCATGATAAATTTTCACCTCTCTGAAAGAACTGGTCATCGTTAGACACTGACAGATAATTTATGATAACATAACTATTATTATTATCACTATTATTATCATTAATATTGTTATTATTATTGGCAGCTATGCAAGAACCATGAAAAATAATGGTAATCTTAGTCTGAAGAAGCCATACAAGATACACAAAAACAGAAATAAACGTGTGAAATAAAATTCATTACCACCATCCTCAGACAGATGCCTTCAGACTGCAGTTTGTTATCAGAAATGACTGTGAATAAAACTATGGACAGCAAGTGCTTGAAAAACCAGAACATTCTTTTTAATGAAATTACTGGAACAAAAAGATTTTGTTAAAAGAGCAAAAGAACTCAGTTATCAGATATAATTCTAAAAAAGTCCCCAATTTTTTTTTCGGTACCAATTCAACCGATACTTATATCTTCTATGCAAGTAAGAATTTTGTCTATTTTCATCTCCCTATTGTGATAAAAAACTTATTCGAGAACACGTTCACTAAATCAAACAGAAAATTCTAAATTTAGAAGAACAAAAATTCTGAAAGTTTTTTTGCATGCGCAGGGTGCATAAGAAGATAAAGTTTTATAATTTCCTCCTCTGTCCATCAACTTCAAAAGAACAGTTCATTTTTACCAAATTAGTTACTATTTTGCACATTGCAGCAGCTGCAATAAACTAAAGAATTTGATTAGGAAGGACGTACTTCTGATATGATGAGTCACCCAAGCCCAAAACAGCAAACTGGACACTGGTCAAAGAAGTGCTCGGCAGATCTTTTCTTAGAAGAAACTTCCAGAACATCTGCAAGAAAGAACCACAATTGAAAAAAAATGTTAACAACACTTTATTAACAAAATATAACTTCTATCCAACTATTTTCCTCATCTATCAAAAGTTGACGGTGGCGGAACGGTTAGTGCGCTTGTCTCTGAAGCGGAACAGAATTTGTTTGCCCCCTCCTGCCCACCTAGCAGTAATGGGTACCTGACTTCGAGTTAGGGAAGTAAAGGAACTGGCCACCCTACCACAATAGGCCAAAGGCCCAGGAATTGTCTTACTAACAAGGCTATCCCAATGTCCGGATAGGATGTCGGAACAACTCTACTTTTACTTTATCAAAAGTTGATCTGCTCACAACATGAAAAAATGTATTCTTAAAAGTAAAAGATAACGAATCTTCGTCAACTCCACCCATCAAGCAGTTTTTGCAAAAGAACAGCTTTTGACTTTTGGACTATGCACATCACAAAACTCAATATCTCAAATTTTGAGATAAAAAAAAAGAAAATTCCGCTTCGTCAAATTAAAGATTCTAGAATTGTTATCCCAAGGCCTCACAACCTTCATAAATATTACCAAGGAGCAAAAACTTGATTTGATTGAAGCAAAACTGAGCTACATACACCAATATAATTATACAAATACATGTGTGTCACTTCACTGTGAAATCAGGCGCTCTTCAATTTTGGGGCATACGGACAGACTTACTGGGGTAATCTTAAAGCTTGTTCATATGCTTTGCTTTTTATGGATTAAAAAAATTTCCATCTTTGTTCAACAGAAAAAGTTGAGATATTTTTGACGGAAGGAGGTGGGGGGGGGGATGTCATTTTTTGTAAAAAGTCGTTTAGAAAAATAAGCAAGAAAATGGCAGCCAAAGTTTTATGAGTTCAAAGGCTTGAGTATTTTTCAGTAAAAGCCACTCAGACATTTTTTTTTTAATGAACAAAAAAGTTATTGAGCCTCTCATCCTTCCCCCACCCAAACCTTGAATTTGATGAAAATTGCCCTATATGGGCACAACAATGGTTTCTTCGATTTCGCTATATTGAGGAGTGTCTGATTTCAATTTCACCATGAAACTACACATATTGAGCATTGAAAAACAATACATAATACATGATACATTATATGGCAAAGAGGCCCAACAACCAAACGACCATCTACCCTTGGTGGACAAAACAATTTGACTACAAAAAAGCCATTCAGTGAGATAGTTATAAAAAATGACAGCAACTACAGCAAACCTGCACTTATCACAAAATGACATTGAACAGAAGGGGAGGAGCCAATTACAACAAAAACAATATGAAAATAGACAGGTTCATAGGTCCAGGCAAGAAAGAACGACTTTTTCACCCTCATGTTATCTGGAGCATCTCCTTGGCCAGTGGTCGAACAAACAAAAACAATCAGAGGCTCCTTGATAAGCTGACCCTGAAACAAATGTTACTGTATGAAAACAGAGTAATATATAAAATAGGACAGTTTTATAAAAATGGGTGGAGGATCATCTTTATCTTAAAAAAGAACACATATAGATCATTGCTGTAATTATCAAGGCTAGGATAGGAAATTGGCACTCAAACCTACATCATGCATGATATAATTGTTACTAATTGTATCAAAGTGACCTCTTAAACTCCTGATTCACTTTTCTTTTAGGGTACAATTCGAATAATATTCATAGGATTTTTTAAAGTTCCCTTTCTGTCTCCTAAACTGTCCTTGAACTACTATATATATTCGTTTTGAAACTTGAAACAACATAAATGAGGTTGGTCCTGAGTAAATTTCCATCTCTGAAAGGACTGGGCTTTCAAAGTAAATAAGAACAAGGCAAAGACTCCTTTAATTAAACAACCAAAGTTCTCAAAACAGAACAATTCCTTTGCTCAGCTCCAACCATAGTTGATCACATTGGAAAATAGTATGACATCATGAAACAGTGCTCTCTCAAAAAAACAATTTCCAACATTTTTGTAATACCCTACCAAGATGCTCAAAATTAAAAAAACAACCACCCAGGCATGCTGCTTTCATTTTACAAACATAGAAGGATGATAGTGTTTTTATTTTATATACCATGTTATAAGAATCCATAGCAACAGCTTTGGACGAGAAATGTCTGCGCTTAGCATCCCGGACTATTCTGTCAGCCACATCATGAGCTGTCCCCGTCTGACTTCCGTACAGGACAAGAAGTCGACGTTCACTGGTGCCAGAAGTCACGGGCATTTCTGTTGGCTATATCTGATGAGAATACAACACAATATAAAAACAAAAGATGAGTCACACAAGAATCAAAGGTTTAAAAGGAACAGAGTAAGTGTTTGTGGTGTAGTGTAGGTGCTTTGCTGTCACATGCAGGAGACCCAAGTTTGATACCCAGCTTGCCAAGGGGAGAAAAATTTAGGGGTATTACCTGGTTTTGTCCCCAATTTAAAAAAAATATTTCCTAACTGTACAATCACAATCTTGATTCCTACTCCGACCCCTACCCAATAAGCCAATTTCTAACCTTTTCCCTTACCCTGAAACTCAGCCTATAGATTTCTAGATCTAGACCTCTAGATATCTGAATCTACTCTCTAACTTTATTCTATAACCAGTGCCCATTGGCACGATCAGTTCGGTTCATTAGGCGGGGCTAGCCAGATTGAGGGAAAAAAGAGACCATCGACATCGTGGTACAAACTGAACAAAGCCAGCAGTGACAAAAAAAAAAAAAAAAAACGCGTTGAAAACTGGGTATTATCAGTCTGCAGTGAAATACCTCAGGAAATCTAGATCTAGAGGAAGGACTTCCGTAACATGGTAACGAGGGACCACCCCATCAAACACAATAAAGAAGAGGGCCCTAGACCTAACCCTACCCCTACCCCAACAAGCCCTCAATTCTGCTGTCTCATAGTGGTCGCTCGTTACGGAAGCCCTCCCAATCTAGATCCTAGGGTCCAACACCTTTATGACTATGATATAATTGATGTTAACACCCTGGCAGTCGACTGGCGACAGTGACAGAGTTATGACAGTGACTTGCAAATTGTTTGTTATCTCGTTCTTGACACTCGGATGTCTCAAACATTCGTTCGTTTGAATGAGAAAGACGAACAAAAACAAAACTGATCTTGCGTTTTGTTTCATAACGACATGAGCTTACAAATTTTGGTGACTTCTGTCTCTGTCCAGATGAGTGTTCTATTGAATCATTGGTTGAAAACAAGATATATAGATATGCCTGAAAAGTTGGCTTCAACACACAATAACAATAGTCGACTGGATGCCACTTGATGGCGAAATAATGAAAGTAGAAAGCAGGCCACAAATTTTCAATTTTAGAGTTCCTTCCCTTAAACTAATTTTAGTAACAAACTGATCATGTGACTTGCGTTCTCACGTGACCAGTTTGCCTCCGTTCATTCACAGTTCACAGTGCTACATTGTTTACGTTTTTAGGCTGGCCTACTCGATTTATTTCTGGTTGCTTTGACCGTCGCTTCAACTACTCAAAGGCGTGTGCTGTAAGTAAATAGTAAATAAGTAGATCTAGATCTAGATCTAAAGTATGCGTGCCGCTGAGGCTTGAGATGAGGTTTGATCGAGTAAAAAGGCGCAGTAGTGGCGGGTGCAGTGCCAGTGCTGTGCAATATAAGTTACAAGTGACATCGTCATGGCAACAAATGTCAATGTTCTACACATTACCGATGATTACCAGCCAGTAGGCTACAAGAAGAAGTACAAGATCTAGATATCTAGATATAGATCTAGATCTAGATCTAAATCTAGATCTTGATAATATGTGAGGCAGCATGGTGGAATCAGGCTCTCGTCAAATTTTGGGCATGTGTAGAGTTATTGATCATCTTAAATGTGTTCACTTCTTGTCCTTATTTGGATGAAAAAAATATCTATTCATCTTGAATACAAGTCGAGATATTTGCGAATGAAGGAAGTGCGGGTTTTCAGAGGTAAAATAAGTGAGAAAATGGCAGCCAAAGTGCCCAAAGATTAGTTATGTCCTTAGCTTTTTTATATGAGTCCGTGGTAACTGAAAATTTACATTTTTTGTGCCTTTAATCAACGTTTTTAAGAAAAGGGAGTGTATACAGACTCGGTAACCGGGAACAAAGTCACAAAGTATAGATCTACAGACCCGGTAGGGGAACTCTTGTGATTTCGGAAAGTTTCAACGCCCTCTTGGCTCAGGGGCTTAGGGTAGGCTCCTTGGAGTAGGCCTAGACTCCTAGACCTGGTTCTTCTAGCTCTATGGCCTAGGTCAAGATCTAGACAGACAGACATAAATCATTGATCTAGTTGCGAGGTTAGCCTAGATCTAGATCTAAATGAAGATTGCGGATGTCTGTTCGATGAACGATTGTTTTTTCTCCGTTTTTTTGGAGTTGGAGGAATCACAATTTGAAGAAAAGAACTGTCATAATTCAAATCGAGCAGTCATCCCCCCCCCCTCTCTCTCT